TTTCATGATGATTACCTACTTAATTGTTTCTGCCTCTTGGCTGTTCCCATTATTCCATTTTGCCAGTCAAATATGGAAAGGTAAACTTTTGCTTTCTGCTGTTATACAATAGTTTTCTATGATGGGGGAGCAAATAGTGGATTTACATATGGGTGAAGTACTGAAAAAACTCTTCTCCCCCAGAGAATACTGTTTACAGAACTGTTTTAATCTTGCATATTACTGGCTGGGAACTGGCTATTACATAGAAACTAGTAGACACTATAATTTTTATTTGGAATTTTTTGAGACACAAATGTATATAGGTAATATGTTTAAGTACAAGGAAGCTATCTGGAAAGCCGACTGAGGTGAAGTTTTTAAAAGTTATGTAGAATTGAGTGTACTCAACTTTTTTTAAACAGGATACCACTTGCTGTAAAACCACATAAGGAAACGATGCAGCAAGCAGGCAGAACTTTTTTTCCAGTACATGTAAGCTAGGCACAAATGTAAAACATGTTAATTACACTATCCCAGGGTATTTTTGTTTTTTGTTGTTGCTTAAGTTGTAAATATCCCTCTGGTTTGCGCATTTAAGAGTGCAAGTTAAGAAACGTTGAACAGGATTGCTTGAGTACTAGAGCTATGTGTTGCTCAACTTCTTTACAATACCTTAATACCCAACTTTTTAATGAAAGGTTTTAAATTTAGTAAGAGTGTGATCCAGGATATGTGTATCTAGATCATCGTTGCCTCGTGCTTTTAAGAAACAGAATGCTATTTCCAGGTCACGGTTGGGAGAAAAAGAAAAAATGCATAATACTGCAATTCATAAAAGCTTTAAAATGTTACAATTAAATTGTTCTATATGCTCTTCTGATATGGACTATATTGGATTGTAAATGTAATCTTAAAGTGTACACCTTGTCCTCAAGTATTAATATAAGCTTTCACTTGGTGTAGAGTGGATATATTTTGTCCTCTTTGCCTGCCTTGTATCTACCCCCTTTCCCTTGCAGTTTTCCTAAATATCATAAAAAGCAGCATAAAAGAGAAAATACAGTAAGCTGTGTAGTTGTCAAATAGAGCATATTTTTCTGCTCCAACAGAAGAGGTTCATTGTAGGGATAAGAGAGGGAAGAAAACCTGGCAGATAAGAAATTAGACATAGTCCTACCTACAATTATTTGCATTCTCAAAAGTGCCCAAAAGGGAAACTAAGCTGAGATCTTGATGAAAATCAGGCTTGTAAGTGATGTAATATTTCTAAGTAGTGCTAGATTGAGAGTACTGGGATGTGAAGTCGTATTTATCTAAGAAATGCTCCCACCCTCCCATTTATTTGTAAGAGCGTCAAAGCTCTGAGTTCAGCAAGATGTGCAGCAGTGTAAGGGAGGGTTTCTTCTTCCATGGGTTTGTGGCCTAGGCCATAAGTTGGCCTTTAGCTAACTTTGTATTTTCTCTTCTAGTCCTTCTACCTTAGGAACATAGGCCCTGCTTACTTTGAAAGCAAAACTGCTTCTCACGTATCAGCAAGGTTAAATCAGGTATTCACTGGAAAACACGTACAGCTGTGCGTTTAAAAAGGAGGACAGGATGGAATATGTACAATATGAACAAAATTTTGTTGCTAATAAGGTTGTTAGAAGACGCTGAACAAAGCAATAGCTGATGTTTTCTTGTGTATGGGGTAAACTAGATTCTCTGATCCCATAGTGCCAGGGGCCATAAAAGTGCCTAAATGAATAGGGGCTAATGTTTTTTTCTGCCATCTTATTTCTGAGGCAATGCTTCCCAAGTCCTGCAGTGGTCTGTCCACTTACATGTTTGCTGTTTGTACTTTGTTTCCTGTGTAAGTACTTATCTAGCTCTAACATTTCCCAACCCCCCTGGAACTATTATTGCTTTTGTCACTCTGCCTTACCCATAAAGTATTTCCTAAACTCCCTTATTACTTTCCTAAGTTTACTTTATGCTCTCCATTTTGCGTTTGACACTTACAGAAAATGTCTGGTGTCTACCTTCATTTTTTTCCCTCCTAGAATTTAATTCTCAACTATACAGCCTCCAGATACCCCCTTTAACATTATATATTAAATTCTGTGTTCCTAATATCTTATTGATCTAACTCCTGACATCTTTTTACCAAGTTATGGCTCCCTCTTCTGGAAATGAAAACACAATAAGGAGGACCAGGTTTCAAAGTGAAGTGCGCACGGGCAGCTGCATCCTGGCTTATTTGCACAGTTGTCAGCTTTTATTTTGTGGTCAAATAAGCTGTGAAATAAGGTCAATAGTGTTGAGGGCTGGACTCAATAGTCAACACTGCATTCCTTCTCTCCCTTAATTGCCATCTGCTGTTCCCAAGTCAATATTTTTGATTAGTTTTCTCCATCAGTGCCATACCCTAATACGTGGTACTATGTCAGAATCCTTCCTGAAGCTCAAAAGAGTCCATCCCTTGTCTCAGTATTTTCACCTCCAAGAATTAAATTTTAAGTATGGCTTTGGTAAGTTCATGGGAGACCCACCTTTCATGTGTTCCTATCCAAGTGTTGTGCCTGAACCCTGACTGTAGAATCTTCCCAGATCTCAAAGTCGGACTCAGCTCTACAATATTGTTAGCTATCTTTTTCCTCTGCACGCTGTAGAGATGGACATCTTGTTCCAGAAAGTTCCAGATGACAAACCTACTGGAGGTTCATTAGTGTAAGCAAGTGATGTGGGGAACAGTGCAGTTGCATAGGGGCAAACACACTGAGGAGTTAGTGTTGCTGAGATTTATAGGTGTTCTGAAGTGGGACATGAAAGAGGAAACTGGGCTAATTACTACCCCTCCACCACAAAAACTGGACAGAAGATGGGAGAGCAGAGGCATGAAACCAGGGGTGAGAGAACCTCCCCTCTTCCCACAGCTCTCTGCACCATGTTATCTGCTCTGTTCCTTTTTTAAAAAACTGTCCTTTGTGCTGAGGTGTTTATATGTATGTTTATTTGCTGAAAATTAGTAAGATTATGTAGGAGGCAGTAAGGGAGAGAACAGGGCTCTCTCATTGCTCAGTGTTCCCTTCTTGCCTTGATATATATACTATGAGAGTAGAAGTTCTGAAAACCAACTAGAGCTGAGTGCCTGGCCTGAAAAAGTATGGAGCGGGAGGCATTAAAATGGGTGTCTCTGGGTTTATACACATGCTTTATTCAAATCAAAAAGCCTCACTTTAACCTGTTTTTACCAAATGCAAAGAATTGCAAGTGTGTAGATCTACAGTAATTTGTGGGGACAGGGGAGTACACACCTTTAAAATGCATGAAGTGGGGAAAAAGTCTCAATACTTATCTTCATTATCCCTTTATCCTAATATTTGCTTTTTAGAGTTGAGTGTGCTTGACTCAAGCAGGAGTTAATGGGCCTGTAAGGACACAGGATTAAATATAGTATGGGTAGAAGGGGTAGGAGAGATTATTTATGTATGTTCCAACATGCTTTTTGTTTTACAGACAATTCCCTGCCCTCCCCCCCCCCCCCCCCCAAAAAAAAGATTACAATTGGAAGGCCAGATTTTGATACCCTTAAACATATGAAGTAATACTTTAATGTCTCAAAGCATTGTGCACGAAGGAGGTGAAATGATTTGCTTAAGGTCACCCAGCACACCCATGGCAGAGTAAAACCCATGTTTCTGGGCAGTGCCCTCTCCATTAGACTATGCTACCTCTCCTGAACTGACCAAACCAGCACCCATTTAGCAAACCAGCTTTATCTAAATTGACTTTTCCCACTTTGATGCAGAAAAAAGGATGTCCACACACAGACTTGCACTAAAGTTACTGTTAAAGCACAGAGTGGGAACGTGAAAAGCAGGCTTGGCCCAGAGCTGGGTGTACAGCGGCAGGATTTTCCCATTTTCCCATTGCTTCCATTTTGTGAGTTACAGGGAAACCGGTTTCAGACCAAGCATTCTGCGTAGGGGACCGCCAGGAAACTGAAAGTAAGGAAAAACTAACAAGTGGCTCTCTGCCCCTGCTTTTATATTGATCACAAATGCAGGTGCATTTGTGATCAATACACACACCCACACACTTGTTAAGTTTTCCATTCTGGTTGGGCCACTTCCACTGCCATCTCTGCAACGGCCCAGCCCACTTGTATCATATTCCAAATAATAAAAATAGTTTGTTTGTCCCTGGGAGTGCGGTTCTCCCCTTTCGCCCCTTCTCCACACCGCATGGGGAAAGGTTTATAGATGCTAAGAGAAAAAGGTCTAGGTCTAGGACTCTATCCTGCCTCTCCCTCCAGCCGGCAACGCCCCTGAGCAATGTAGCTGCACCGTGGTCTGGTATTAACAAGGCGCCTTGGTTCTCGTTGGTACAAATACAGAGACCCGGTCCACACGGGAGGAATAAAACAGTCGGACTCCAGTATTAATAGCAACACTACTTGCAACTGATTCAAGTGAGATGCAAAAGGAATTCTTCTGTTCTTCTACTACCCTGTACCACGTCATCTCTGGCTGGAAGAGTTGAAGGGGGTGAATTGGTTGCAGCGCTGCTTATCATCATCCCTTAGTGGACCCATTCAAACTCGGCCGTGGTTCTGGTACCCTGGGGCTAAATCTTTTTACAGTGCGTTCCGGCCCGCTGCACAACGTTGGAAGCTCAATCCAGCTTGTAAATTTCCCCCCGGGCGGATCGCAGTCTGCACTAGCCGCTGCCAGACTTGCTTCCTGGAAAAGCTCCAACAGGAAGAGAAGTTGAAAACTGACACGTGGACTTTGTATTGCAAAGAGACAAACTCCCCCTCTGAATCCCAAACCAGATCCGCTCGGCTTTCGCAAAGTAAGAGGCAGGGCTGCGGTGACAGGCAGGCATTGCATTCACTCCCTGTGACTGAGCCTGGCTTTGCATCTTTCCTTTAAGCAAGCACCTTCTAGGAGAGTGGGAAATGTAACCCTGTTCTGGGGATTTTTCCTGTCATTGCTGTCTGCCCTTTTTGCAATCACTCCCGCATCCTTGCAATAAGTGCCACAACCGCACGGTCTATCCGTGTCATTTTACTTAGTGAGTCGTCACCCTTTTGTAAAAAAAATACTGAATGGCTTCAAGTATCGGTAGGAATGGTGTTCAGGTATATAGTTCTGACCTGGTCTCGCTACATCATCATAGCCACCACTACCAGCAGCAGCAGCCTGTAAAGAAGACATATAAGGAAGGCACGAAAAAAGATGGGACTGTGGATGCCTATTGGTCCAGGTAAGACTATACAGTTTGTCATTATAAATATTTTTATTCTTTTCCTTGTGCACAAACCCCTGCTATGTAGTTTTAATATGCAGAGTTTTCTTTCCTGTTTAATGGCTCTTTAATCTGTAGATAAAACACTTGAGAGTGTCTGAATGACTGTTTCAGAGTAGCAGCCGTGTTAGTCTGTATCCGCAAAAAGAACAGGAGTACTTGTGTGTCGTTTTGTAAGGATGGTCCAGTGGTTGGGGATCCATCCTGGGCTGGGACACAAGGAGAGCTGAGTTCAATGCATTGCTTTGCCACAAACTTCCTGTGGACCCTCCGGCAAATTACTTAATCTCGTCGTGTCTCAGTTTTCCAGCTGTAAAATAGATAACAGCACTTCCTGACGTCACAGGGGTGTTGTGAGGATAATTACATTAAGACTATGAAGTGATACTATGGTAATGAGGACCAAAGAAGAACCCGCATATAGATAGATACTGTACAAACCGTCTTCCTTGTAAATCTGTGCTATTCCAATCAGGACTGTTTTAATAAGAACAATAGCACAAAACTGCACCGCAGAGAAAGAAAAGGTAACCACTACATAAAATACAAAACACTTTTTTTAAATGCAAGACAATTGAGCTTGTATCTGCCCTGTAGTTGGTTATTCAAACATGCCATTTGAAACATTAAGAGCTTTTTATCAAAAGGTCTCAGCAGTTATGTTTGCACTGTAGATAATAACTAATTAAGATTAAAGGTAGCTAGATTACTCAGTAATAGTTTTTCCAAGTTCAATAATTAAGACTTTAAAAAAACATTTTTTCAGCCAAAAATGTGCATCCACGCTGCCTTTATGCTGATTATCAGTATGATGCATATAGTAATAGTTGAGGTTACCAAATACAATGTGCATTGTGAAAAATCATATTCTAAAATGGTTTATCTGCCCAGTCTTAACTATTAGAGGGTGCAGCAGTGTATGTGATTTTATTTTAATCTGAATTGATCCGGGTATGATTCCTAGCTCATTTTGTATTCTCCACTGTGTGTGTAAATGTAATATTGAAAACAGGCTCAAACCTTGTGTATAAACTTAGTTGTACAAGTCTATGGCACATGCTATGTGATTGGGTGACACGTGTAAAATTGCTACACTTCCCATTTTCATTACACATGAGTACTGTGCTTAGTACGATGATGGGGTCCCAATTCCTGATTGGTGCCTCTTGGCGCTACCACAATACAAATAACAAATTGATGTTTTCTGAGGATAGCCGAATCTCCAGGTTATTAAGCCAAAATGTACTGCCTTTGAGAGTGGTGGCATGTGTAAATTCAGGGTTGTCTTGTGTTCTGTAGGAACCTAAGAATTATCAGTTTTTAATCTCTCTAAAACTGACTCTTCTCTCTGGCCTCGGGCAAATCACTTAACCTTTAGGCTTCAGTTTGCAGCCACTCTAATAATGCATAAGGGTGCTGTCAGGAATTAATTGGTTAATGTTGGTGAAATGGTTGGGAGATGGGGATAGATAAGGACTGTGACTAATTGGCAGAAGCCTTGCAAAACTGAAAGCTCATCATGGCAAGAATTCTTTAAAATGATATGTGCTTCATAACAAATAACCATTACATCGATGGCTGATGAGACTGATCTTGATCCTCTAGTCTCCCAAGTGTGGCTGTAGCCCAGAACCTCCCATCACCACCACAACACATGTTAGAGAAAGTCTTCTGATCAACTACCCATTGAAGCCAATGAATCCAGTGGATTTTGTGGGCTTTGGATAAGACCCCCAGGAGAGGTGGTAAAAAAGTAAAATCAATCTGTGAAAACTTATTTGATTTTTTTTTTTTATTGATTTGCATTGAAAACTATGCTGATGAAAAGTTAGCAGTCATTTTTAACTAATGTTCTTAGCGATCATTTATGTTGTGGCCTGACCCAGACACTCCAAGCAGAATTGGAGCTGCACAGTGCTGCACTCTGTATAAGCAGAGAGTAAAGGCTAGACATGCAGCCCCAAAGAGTTTACAGTCTAATTTAAGAGAAGTTGCAATCTGTAGAGCTGGTTGTAATTTTTTTTAAACCAAAGTACAGGTTTTGTAGTGGTCAACATTTTTCACTTGTTTCTGGGGAGAGAGAGAGGGTAGATGGGCCAATATACAAAAATCTAAATGAAAGTTTCATTTGGGAAAAACTTTGTTTCAAATTTGTGCCCCCCCCCCCACCTGTGCTTCTCTGATTTGTTTTCTTTTTCCCATTAGAAAAGGGTGGAGGGAAAGTTTAAAAAAAAAAGGCGAGAGAATGTGCCCCACTGCTGCAAAGGGAAATGTTGGCAGATTTCATTACAGATTTCTTCCAAAAAAAAAAAAGATTGATGAACCCCTAATTTTTGATGAAAATCTAGTTGCTGCCAGTCCTGTGTCCAACTGGCTCTATCAACAAGTGGTTCTACCAAACCTTATGAAGGAACAGGACGGAGGAAAATGGAAATGTCAATAAGATTATCATTTGTACTGCTGTTGCACATAGAGGCTCCAGCTAGAATCCAAGCCCTATTGTGTTATGCACCACACATGCAAACATAGAAATCAGGTCTCTTCCCCCGTGAACAAGACTGTCAAAGAGTGGGAAGGGAAATACAGGTACAGAAAAAGGAAGTGATTTGCCTATGGTCACACAGCAGGTGAGTGGCAGGTTTGTGCAGTTATATAAGCTAACTATCTGAGCAGATGGATGCTTTCTAATCAATTGTATATTTTAAAATAATAGGCATAAATAAATATCAGTATTTCCAGATGAACTTTACTTTACCCTTCATTCAAGCTAATGAGCTACTGTTACAGAAACAAGGATTCATCAATATGGAGAAATGACAGAATCCATTTTCACACAGAAACAAAAGACACGCCAGGCAGCCTTCCAGATCCTCCATGCCCCTTTGGTGCAGTGAGACAGATAACCACTTATTGTTGCACGTTTGTTTTTCTGTCTTTGTTCTCCCTGGTTTATTCTGCTTCCTCTATTCTCCATTTCTTCAGCTCACTTTTCACTTTCCCTTCACCCACACATCTTATCTTATCCTCTCCAGCTGCCATTCCCAAACTTTCAAGGAACTCTCCAGTGGTTCCATTATCCCATACCATCCCTTCTCTTCCAAGGAACAACACTCAAAAAATTCTGATTAGGTAGGGTGCTTGAATAACTGTACAGGAAAAGGATGTCACTTTGAGTTAGGTATCAGAGGGGTAGCCGTGTTAGTCTGGATCTGTAAAAGCAGCAAAGAGTCCTGTGGCACCTTATAGACTAACAGATGTATCGGAGCATGAGCTTTCGTGCTGTCTGGTCACCCACGAAAGCTCATGCTCCAATACGTCTGTTAGTCTATAAGGTGCCACAGTACTCTTTGCTACTTTGAGTTAGGGTGACCAGACAGCAAGTGTGAAAAATCGGGACGGGGGTAGGGGGTAATAAGAGCCTATATAAGAAAAAGACCCAAAAATCGGGCTGACCCTATAAAATCGGGACATCTGGTCACCCTACTTTGAGTAACAACAATAATAAATTAACTAATAAAACCTAGCACTTGGAGAGCACTTTTCATCCATAGATCTCAGTGCTTTACAAGCAAGGGTCCCCAGGAGGTATGTAAATATCACCATCTCCAGTTTACAGATGGGAAACTAAGGCACAGAGAAGTGAAATGCCTTGCCCAACGTCACACACAAAGTCATGGGCAGATCCAGGGTCAGAAGGTGGAATCTAGGGGGCAGATTCTGGGCTGTGCCTCTCAGGTGGTGCAGCACAAAAGACTCAGTGGGGATTGAGGCCCGTATGCCTTCTAGATTCTGAGCTACACCAGGGGCCAGTGTGCTCCATGGTATAAGCTAGAGCAGTTGCTTTCTGCAGAGGAAGTGTAAAGGGGCTGTGATGGGCTGGAATCTGTCCCCAGGTCACTTAACTGCTAGTCCTGTGCCCAATCCCACGGACTACACTATTCTGTTCACAGCTTTCTGACGATCACAATTCAAGCCCCATTAGTTTCTTTTACTGTACGAGTCACTCATCTTATTATTAAATAACATACTTGCTAAGACCCCTTTATTTGAGGAGGTGTAATCAAGAAACCAGCTGCCAGTTGTGGTTATTCAGCATTGTCAAGTGTTATTTCTCTGTTTCTGTGATCAGCATGTGTGTGTGTGATTACAGTTGCACCTTTCCACCTCCTCCAGGCTGATTTAGTAGTTTTTTTTCTGCTCATACTACTGGCTAGAATCAAATTCTATCTTTATTCTGCCAAAAGCAAAATATGAAAAGAGGGAATGAACAGAAAGTTGCTCTTGCTAAACGGTGCTTGTTGCCATCTGTGGCTCTGCTAAGGAAATCCATGCTCAGGAGAGATGCATGAAGTAAACAAACTTGTCTTCCCCGTGGGAAAAAACCCTCCCCTCTAGGTCATTCTAGTTGGTTATTAGCTGATTGGTTTGAAAAATCAAAGCTACCTTTGATGGCTACAGATCATAAGGTGTCAGCTGGTGTCTGACACGTTGCAATCAGGGGGAAAAAGGGATTCTCTCTCTCTCGACAGTTATTAATCGTGTTTGTTATGGCAGTGCCTACAGGCCAACCAAGAATGGGGCCCCATTGTGTTAGGCCCTGCACAAGCAAAGCAGTAGCCGGTCCAGGTATTGAAGAGCTTACAATCTAATTAGGCAAGGCAGGCACAGGGCAGGGAAGGGTAGAACACAAAGAAGCACTTGGATTTTCAATGGTGGGGAGCAGTCATTTTTTGAGAAAAAACAAATGCAGGGAAGACAACCCTCAAGCGGAGTTAAAAATAACTACCCCACCCCCTTGGCAGGATCTCTGATTTAACTTGCTTCCGTACAGTCTTATGTGTGTGACTGTGCTGTGTTTACTTCACATCAAAAGTTGCCACAAACATGCTGTAAATTAAAGCAATGGACAGATAAGCTGCAAAAACTCACAGGAATAGGACAATAAAGCAGGGAGGATT